TTCTTGTCTAAATGCTGAATTGGTGTTTAGAATCACCCGATGCTTGCAAGGGAATACGAGCGGGTGAGAGCTGGAAAGCCTCCGGTACAGATTGATACTTCAAGATATGGACTTGAAGTGCCACCTGTGAATAAACGGAATGATGAAACTGCATGGAAGCAAGCACTTCAAAAAGCTCAACGTTTACTGCAGCATCAAGTAATCAGGTAGCACACATGTAATCAGTGAGGAGCTAGATATCCTTCCTGCGGGGGCTAGTTTGCAGGGCCCTTCTTTAGAAGTACATTAATAGAACTTCAATTTGTAGCTCTTTTGCTGTCTGGATTATATACCAAAAAAAAAGTATTTGTCCAATTATTGGTTCAGATGGGTGTGAGTTATGATTACTTGGTATTAGTTATAACAACGATGCATGTATTTATACATGTATTCATTAGAAGAAAATTTCTGTAAATTAAGTTTTCTGAAGTCTTTAAACTACATGGTTTATTAAACATGATGTTGCAGCAATGCATGAGATGATTAGATAATGGACAGTGGTGTGACAAAACAAAATAACTGCTGGATTTGAAGGAAAGATTTCCAAATTGGATTCTGCTTTAAGAACTAGTTGTGCTTGAAAGCTTGTGGGCTAATTGAATACGAGGCAGAGTAATCAAAGGGTATATGGCATTGGCTTTCCTTTCCTTGTGAGATTTAAAATTAGTGTGTTCGAATCTGAATAGAACTTCTCTTTTTACTTCTATTAAACCTATATACATTTCAAATTTCTTCCGTAGTTAAGAGATTGAAGTGTATAAATATAAACAATAAAGGTTTCTATCTGTTCTCTCTTGGCGTCAGCAATAATCGATTTGAGGGGTACAGCAGTATATTTTACTGATTTAATGTGTGTGCTTTCTGGGGGAGATTTGCTCACGCAATTTATGGAGAATGTAGTATCTTCTGAAGCAAGAGTGTAGCGATCTGCTGATGATGCTTTCTGATGTTGAATTATCTCTTGTGAAAACATGTTAACCATATGACTGTTAGAACCGAGGAAATTCTATTGTCTGATATGGTTGCAAGTTGCAACCCCAAGGAACCCAGTCTTGGTAACTTCAAGCGAAAAAATAAAAGAAGGGGGATACCTTCAATTTTTTCTCCCCGCTACTTATTTTCTTTTGGTTATTTTGCTATATATTTGTATCCATGTTCACTGACCCTATCTGCTGGCTAGTGAGAATTTCAGTGGCATCAAACCTTTGTATAATATTCAGGTAGTCAAGAAAATTGAAAGGGTCTTTTGGAACATGGTTTGCTCTCTTTCTTAATCAAATAAAAAGAACAAAAAGAGACTGCTTGTTAGATTGCTTTTGCGAACTATTAATTGCTGTCGTATGTAGTCATCATCACTCATCGGGATCATATGAAAACAAGAACATATTTTTGTATACAGATCGCCAGTCATGTTTTGTTGAATTTTTTCATATCAATTTCAATTACCGCAACCATGCAGAACTTGCATGCAATTTATAGTTAACATCTCGTTAGATGAAGATGAAGTATGTTTTACTTCATACAATTTTACTTTTGCAGCTATCATTAGGAATGTTATCATTTAGATTGCAATATGTTGAGAATCAAATTATATTATGAGGTTGGAATATCCTTGCTTTTTTTCAAAATCTCATGGTTGATTATTTCTTCACCCAAAAGCTCTTCGTGTTTTTTTTTGTAGGCTAGAAAATTTGGACTTAATGTCAAAGCATGGTCCAGATGTGTGGAAGCTGTACAATCAACGGCTGGAAGCGATTTTTGCCAGGTTTTCTTTGTACTCTACCATCATTATGTTTCTAAACTCGTATATGGCTTTAGCTTAGTTCTAAATCATCATCCCCATCTCCGTACCTTGTATCTTGATAGGATATTCTCTAATCGACATTATGAACTTTGTAAAGTGCAGTGATTGTAAAAGTGGAAAACATAAAAAACAACGAGGTCCACAAGGCTTGAAGTGCATTGCGAGAACTGAAGTGCACAATTTACGGAAGATTAAAAATACCAGACATATCTGAATTTAGTACTGTAATATACAAATTTCAATTAAAATAACTAATTTCAGCATCCAATGTACAATAATGCTAGTTTTAGTCCAACTCCTCAATGTTGAGATTCAAAGGGTTGACAGCTTCTCGTTGGGATCACTTTGCATGTTACTGTTGGAAGCGCACAATTCTCTGAAGTTGATGGCTTCGCTGATCGAGGAAGCAATGACTTTAATAATGATAGTAATGAGTAAACTGAGTTCGGTCTTGATCCAAACATGCAGCACCCTCTGTCTCCTTGCCAACAGAAGCAGGACATAGGAAAGAAAAGTACTTTTTTTAATTTAGTGGAGGAAAGAAAAAAAATGTTGCATCAAAGAAGAAATAAAAAGAAAAATAGGTTGGATAAATCTGTTTTGTCGCCCGAGGGATTTGGCTTCTGGGATATACTTGTTGCATAAAAAGCTTGTGAACCCACCTTTGAGTTTGTAATAATGCCGGACAAGGAGAACAATGAATATTTCTTATAATCAGTATCAGTGAGGAGATGGTGGGAAAAAATACCAGTTCCATACTGTATGCATTTCTTCCTTGCATTGGGAACATGATACCAGCTTTTATTCTTGATACTTTTCTTTAGAATCCTGCATCTCTTGTGGGGCTGAACATAGAAACTTATTTTGTTGCAGAATGCAATCACAAGTGGGTGAACTGAATGGAAAGATTGAGACCGTAAACAGGGAAAGGAAATATCATCAGGTAAAAGCAATTTCCGCACTAGTTTACAGCATTGTAATTCATAGAGACATACGTATCCTTATTGTCGAAATCGGTTTAAACGAATAATTTTGAATTTTATGGAATATTAGAAGTCATCTTTGTGTAAGCCTCATTAAACTCTCTCACTTTTGGCAAGAGATGGAAATTTTTCATAAATCTTGTACAAATCTCTCTTGATGCATGTAGAAGGACCATAAAAAAGTATGAACTATATTTAACCCTTGGACTTTTTCTTTAAGGTACTGAACTATCTTTCTGTTGTTTAAAAAGTGCCTACGTTAGCAGCATCGGCGAATCAAATATGGTGGTTCTGTTAGTTTTTTAAAGTATAAAACGAAGAAATAAAAATTTAGGCCCTTTTTCTTTCTTCACTGCGGATACGTGCCCTTGTGGTATAGCAAGATACGACTTTTGTTCTCATTTTGGTTACTCCTACTATATAAAATAAGATTCATTAATCTAATTTAGTCATAGTCCTTTGAAGATTTTCCTTTTTAGCTTTGTTTCTCTAATAGAATATGTCTGAATAAGCATATCTGTTTTTCTTTTGTATTCTAATTTATTTGACACTGATCTTATTCCTTTTTCATGATTAACCAATTTTATCTTATCATTTCAATCCTTACCTTATGTATCAGTTAGGTATGAATATCTTGCAAGTACGTAGCTGCAATGTCTTTTAGCAAGATTTTATTCTTCGAAATTAAGCCCAAAAAAGTGATATTTTTATGTTTAACCAATCATTCATTACTTTTGCTAAAGAACAATAGTCTATCGTTGAATTTTAGTTTATTTATCTTATATTCTTCATTATTGGTAAACTGTTAACTGGGGAAACTATGAAATTTTCTAATTAACTCTTGCAGAGGACGAGTTTACTATTAGGAGATATAGTGGTAAATTGAAAATTAACTAATTGCTTTTCTTTAAGCCAATTAGAAATTAAAAATTTTCTAATTTGAGTTGTTCTTTTTAAAAAAAAAAACATTTTTTGTGAGAAGGTTACTCTTTTTTACTGCACATACTTTGTCCAGGTAGTTGAAATACCCATTCTTATATTTAGCTATAGTATAAAAATTGCTGATTTTCTTTTATCGCTATTCTTGTACTGCTCATTTCTGGTAATCTTTCTTCGCCACTGATCAGCAAAATACTGCATATGAGCTCAATGCTTTGTCCATACAATGGAGAGAGCTTTGCTTGAAGAACATGGAAATCCAATCTGCATATATTGAATTGGAAGACCAAATTGAACAGCTGAAGACGGAAGCTAGAGAGAGGTAGTTTTTGTCTTGTGTCTCGTCCATGCTTCTCTCTTTTCTGCAAATTGATATGATCATGCTATCTTCTCTTGCGTCAGGGGCTGGGATTTGGATGCTAATATTGAGAATGGCAAAATCCATGTGGCAGAATGAGGTATTGATTTGCTATCAATCTGTTATGCTCTCTTTCTGGTCCGTTGATTCAATTGTTGTAGTTATAACAGTACATGTTGGGAAAAAAAATGAAGATATCAAGATATAGAAAGTATATGGATGGGTGAATAGGGAAAGGAACTAGAAAAATGAAAAAGATTGTGAAGGGCATAAACGCATGTAGGTGCTACAGGTAGAGCAAAAGTTGGGAAGTGACTGGATCTGATTTTGAGTTTTTATTAGTACATATTTTCCATTTAATGTGTCTTAAAATGCTTTTGGAAAATGACAAAAGAAGCCTTCACTTCCCGTTTCTTCCTTCTAAGCAATGAGTAGTACCCTGAAATATTGTTGAGGAAGACAAAAGTTCTCTATATTGGGTTTCACTGGGTGTTTGCATGCCGAATGGGAGTAGCACCTACATGCCTTTATGCCTTTTCTTGTCAATCTCAACAAGAAACGTAACTCTTTGTAGAGGGACGGGTCCAAAATTCATGACGATTTTGGCAGTGCAGGATCTTATTGCTGGACTTGAAGGAGAAGTTGGTCAGAGTTCTTGCTTTAGGTTGAAGTGGTGAGGCTTATTCGTGTTTCTGCTGTAACATCAATTGTAAGCCATAGCTTTTCCTACTTGTTGGGAAACGTTTCAGTATAAGAAAGAAAACATCCTTGTTGTGAGCATTTTAGATGGACTAAAAAGACGAGAACCAGGAAGGTTAATCTCCACCAAAAATGAAACAGTATGTAACATGAGATGTTTTTTCACCTTGCGTGATTCTCATCGTGTAGTTACCAAACACCCAAACCTTCTGAATATGAGCATGAAACCAGAAGCAGCAAATGGACCAGCCCATGGTGATCCTGAGAAGGTTTTAACTTAGCAAGGAAACTCCTAAAGCGCAAACGGAGGAAGAAAATTAATTGGATTTTACTATATTGAAACTATTTGTGACATGGACGAGCATTTCTTTCCCAGAAAGAAGTTTGAGCTATGTGGATATAGAGAGAGAACAACTGTTGACACATGTTCTTGGATATTGGTGTTACAGTCGCGTTGAATTATTCAATGTTGATTTTGTTGAAATAAGCTAACACGCCCTCTACGGAATTGCTCAAATCTTATGAATTGAGTCGTAGGAAACACTTTTAAATATGTAGTTCTGTCTGCTCTATTACATAAATTCCTGTAATTTGAGTAATTATCCAATGTCCACCAAAACTGTCAGTTCGCTGGTATTCATCATGAAAATAGAAGTAAAACCACTCCACTTTCCTAAGGTCTCTACGCTTGAATATTTGAAAGGAGGAGGAAGTCTAGACTAAAATGCCAGGACATGTAGCTCTAGATACTATGTTTAATGTTCCCATTCTTGTTAACCACTATTACCTTACATAATAGTTCAGCGTGGATGGGCTGTAGAATTACTAGTCTTCTTTCCATGTAGGTTGTATAATATTATTACTACACTTTTGGGAGCGTACCATTTATTCGGCTAAAACAACCCAAAATTAGCAGACTGCGCTAATTGGTTTAGACATGCTTAAGAATTATCCACTTGATCATAGCAAGTAGTCAAGTAGATCAGTGAGATCAGATTCTAACTTACTACATCGAATAAATTTGGAAATAACAGGGGAAATTAAAAGAAAGAGAAGTTCGGAAGTTGCAGAAATTTAGTAAATCTATGTTTTCATGGCATGTTATAGTGTCTCTTTTGTTAGGTTACCCTTTATAAAACGGTTATCGTGCCAAAAAAAGTTCTGAAATTTCTCTAGGACACGATGAAGTCAGAAATTACGCTTTTAAAGGGATATAATTTTGAGCAAATCTATGGAAGAAAGAAGAAACCAGTGTGCCATTAATGCACAACTTGTCGAGTAAGAAAGAGATGCAGCTCAAAGCTTGAAAGCTTCGCCCTAACACTACCTTTTTAGTTTCTTGATTTTTTTTTCTCCTCTAGTCTTTATTCCAGATATATGTAGTCATTTAAACCACAATTATTTGTATATTAGTTGTAGAATCGACTTCCCTATTTCATTGACTTCCTCTTCTATCAGTTTATGCCATGAAGATTGGTAAAATATGTCTTGCTGAAACTAGCACAAAAGAGGAGTCGATAAATTCAAGTTGATTTGGAGGCTTCATACGCATGGATGAAATGAGCATCATTGGTTAAGAGGGTTAAAGAAATTCCAGAAGCTAATGGTGTAACATTACCATCTAAAGTTAGTAAATATAATCAATATAAATATAGTTACCTAAAAAAGGAATAGGAGGAGAGGGATGTATTTATATTTGACTTAAATTGATGAAAGATAATTTGATAAATAAATTTTTGGTAAAGATTTTTATATGAAAGAATTAATTTTCTGCTTATTGGAAGAAGCAAAAAAATTTTAAGTTCTTCCCAACATTAGAAAATTGCTTATATTGCTGTTCGAAAGCAGTTCTTATTATTTTATTTTTTTGCCAAACACCTTAAAATCCAAAAACTACTTTTTCGAAGTAAAGAATACTTCTGGCCTCCTAGAAGCTTGGCCAAATAGGCTATAAAATCGAATGGTTAAAATAGAGAAGAGCTACCGGGTATATGTGATAAAGGATACCTACTAAAGTGAAAGATAAGTTATATAGAACAACTACAAGCCAACAATATTATATATAAAAAATATTGTTAAAGTGCAATATATCCACAAGATGCATGAGTGTTGTAGCGATGTGGATGCTAAGCATATATGCAGTTACACAACATCTTAAATAAGATTGAAAATGGCCATATTGCCAGAAGGTGCAAGTAGCACGCATTAAAGATAAAATGAGATAAGGTTGCTTAAGATGGTCTGGTCATATTCTTCGTCGACCTATAAATGCATCTGTAGGTATAAAACTATTTTGAGCAAATGTGTTAAAAGAGGATAGGGTACCTAAAATCACATGGAAGGAAGTTGTATCAAAAGAACTATAAATTCTTGAAATCAATAAAGACTTAGCTAAAGATGGGGCACAATGGAAGCAAAAGATCTATATAGCCTTGGTGTTATCAAAAAAATCGATTTTAGTCTTTTTAGAAAACTTCTATTATCATTATTGTTGTTGTTGTTATTATTATTATTACTATTATTCATATTCTGACCATCACAAGTTAGCTTAAATAGAAAAGTGTAGATTCGTATAACCTATCCAACTTCTTTGGGAGCCGGTGCAATGTTGTGGTATTGTTGTAAAAGTCAGCTAACTTTTAAGTATCACGAAAGTTAACAAATAATTTTTAAAAAAATCACTCAACTTTATTTAAGTATCACAAAGAAATGACACAATCTTCTATGGTTACAAGCTTCTCATCTGTTGCGTTTGTAACATAATTTTTATTTTAGCATAAATTCGACAACCAATTCATTTTTCCAAAACACAATTTATAAGGGATAGACTTTCCTAAATTTTAGCTTGTTATAACGAAAGAAAATGCCATTATTATCTTATTTATTTTGATTCCGATAAACTAAGTATTTTTTTGCTACAAACACAAATAAAATAATTGAACTTAGTGCTCTATTTAATTTTGCTTGCCTTTTGATTCAAAGGAAAAAAAAAACGTGGAGCTTAAATAACTCACTCAGAACGCTTTTTGAAAGATTACGTGGTACAATTAGGTCGAATAAACCTTTTTGGAATAAGTATTCGGTTGCTTGTGAACCTTCGGGTACTGTTCTATTCAATGTTTATTCAATTACTCTTTTACCTGCAAATGCAATGTAGGCATTGGGTTCGGCAATAACGATATCCCCCAGCATACTAAAACTAGCTGTCACTCCACGGAGATATAAGGATTGATACATAAAATAACTTTTTATTTAATTAATAATCATACAAAAAAAACTGTATTTTAAACATTTGCATCAAGCTCAAACTTCCTTCCCTTGGTGTGCGCGGGACAAAAAATGCGAGGAAAATAGAGCTTCAGGAGTCTCCCTTGGTGTGCGTGGAAGGACGGCACTCGGGTCCGTGTACTTCACTTAGTTTTGTGTTTAATTTTGTTTGCTACTAGGATAGTAGTTTTTTTATGTGGGTGTTCAGTTATCTATGGCGAACTTCTGTCCTAGAGCTGGTTGAGTCAGGAACATATAAATTTTACTATTCAACTACAATATATGTTTGGATTTGCTGAACTTTATGGAGGAACAACCATGAATGAGCTCAAGCTAAGGAAGAGAAAATGGAAGAGAGAAAAGGAAGAAAGAGTAGAGAGAACAGAAGAAATCAATAGAACAATAACTGCTCCTTTTTTCATTCATTTTATATGTACAGTAGAGTATATATATATATATA